GGGAGGTGTCCCTGCCTAGGGCAGGGGTTGGGGCTGGATGATCTCTAGCTCCATTCCAACCCCTAAGATTCCCTGATTCTATGCACTGACCACACTGACAAACTCATGTGACAGCTGCACTGAGCTCCTGAGCAACACTTCCATCAGTGCTGTGAGAAAGGACAACTGGACACATATAATTAACCACTGGCTAAAAGCAACATTTGCCTCTGAAAGGCAAATCTTGGCCCCAGTGATGCCAGTGAGTGCTTTGCTAATGACGGAAAATGGGTCAGGATTTTAATTCACATATTACTGCCAAATTTATTTTCAGAAAGATTTGCTCTGTGAGAAGTTGGGTTGATTGAGACAGGCAGACCTGCAGCTTTCTGTGCCCTCAGAACCAGCAGCAAAGCTTTTCTCCCAATGCTTTGGTTTTATTTCTTAGGCAGTTTGGGTGCTATGTTGTTGTGGAACCACGTGAAGCCGAAGATGACACCCATCGTCTTCGGGAGAGTCTCGTCATAGGCAAACTTCATGGATTCTTCCAAAGGTACCTCCACGACTTCAATCAGCTCTCCTTCCTCAGGCTGGCCACCTCCTGCACTGCTCCTCAGCTGGTCAGTTACCTCTGCGTAGAACAACGTCTGCCTGGAGCCTGTCACACCAACTCCAGACCTGGGAGAGAGCAGGGAGAACCTTGTGTTCAATACAGAAGTGGCAGCAAGGAATTAGGAATGGAAACCTGGGCCCTTGACTAGTGCCACTAATAACAGCAAAATTGCATGTCCTTACTCTCTGCTAGTACACTCAGAACCTACAATGGCAGTTTTGTTCAGGCACAAATTGATTGTCACCTTCATGCAGAAGAACCAACAGCTTTGAAGGCAGTTGCATATGAAATGGATCTGTCTCCAAACACAGGACCCAGGGAATGGGCTGAAGTTGTGTCAGGGGAGGGTTAGGCTGGAGATTAGCAACTGGTTCTTCTTCCCCCAGAGGTGTTTGGGCACTGAACAGCTCCCCAGGGCAGTGTCACAGCCCCAAGGCTGACAGAGCTCCAGAGGTGTTTGGCCAATGCTCTCAGGCACAGGGTGTGATGGTCAGGGATGTCTGTGCAGGGCAGGAGTTGCACTGGATGATCCTTGTGAGTCCCTTCCAGGTCTGATTGTTCTGTAATATGCTGCAGCTCTGGAGAGTGTGAATTTGGGAGGTAACTAAAATATCCCCAGTTTTGTATGGTGAATTGCTGCTCTCCAGAGAAGTCACCAGAAGGTTTTCAGCTGAGCCCAGGGAGAGCAGAGGGTCAGGTTGACTCCCAGAGGGGCACACACCTCAGGCTGGAGCTCCCAGGGGATCTGTGCTGTTGTGCTGCATTTGTTTGCTTGTTTTTGCACAAATATTTAGATTCTTTATTCTTAAGAAGATTATGCCCATTCACAGCTGGAGCTTGTGCTCAAGGGCTGGATAGGTACAAGGCAAGGCAGCCTGGGACTCCTTCTCTATCCTTCCTGAACTTAGCCCTGACCCCAAAGAGCCACTGAAGCTCACACAGACCCCGAGTAATTCAGGTTCCTGCTAAATTTGCTTCTGTGGATTTAGCTGAGGATACTTTAGATTATGTAGTCTTTCTTCAGCTAGACCACTAGCTGTGTATTATACTTCTCATTTGTTAATCCTCTATTTCCTCAGGACTATTTAATTTAGGCATTATTAAACAAGGGCTAAGCACATAATCCACTCATTTAGCCCTTCCAGGAAAATATTCACATTGTAATCACAATGTCTTCATTTCACATGATTACAAGTGACTTTCACATCCAATCTGGATGCAGAGTTCACTGAAACTATGAATGAGGCATTAGGGTGAAAAATTAGCTTCCATATTCCTACACACAGAGAGGGTTCTCAGATCTCAGATCTCAGATTTGTAGCAGTTATGATCTTGGAGTGTACATCCAGACTCCACCAACCAGTAGTCAACCAACTCTGTGAGTTAATCCAGCACACAGCACAGCCCAGAGCAGGAGTTACTCACTTGGCTCCCCATTTTCTGACACTGGCAATAACTTTTTTTTGAGGATTCAGAGTGACTACTGCAGTTGGTTTCCTGCATCAATATACATTCTTGGTTTATAGGGAATATGGAGCAAAGAGCGAATTCTTTTCCTAAAATGACTTCTGACACGTTCTGTGACTTTGGACAAGGAGTTTCATTCCTCCAGGATCATCGACATCTTCATTTGTTAGGACATTTCATGGTTAGGGTGTTGAGGCAGTGGGTTAAGTTTTCTCTTCTTAGAATCACAGAACCACATCAAGGCTGGAGGAGAACTCTGAGACCATCGAGTCCAACCATTAACCTGCCAGTGCTGGAACCTCTAAATCCTACACCAGATCCTCCAGTGCCACATCCAGACACCTCTGAAACACCTCCAGGGATGGTGACTCCACCACCTCCCTGGGCAATATCCCAGGGCCTCAACACCACAACAGGGAAAACATTTCTCCTCACATCCAATCTGACTCTGCCCTGGCTCAGCTCAAGGCCATTCCCTGGACCTCAGTGTCTTTCCTTTGTTATGATGCCCAAAGTTTGGGCATTTCTTCATGTACATTGTCAAATGATTTGCCACAGAAACCAACCAAAAACTGTAACAACACATATCCAAAGGAGAACATACCCACATGGTCTTCCTTTCTTATCTGATTACCTAACTTACCTTTCTCTGGGGCAACTTTGCCACAAGGTATTAATTAAAACCTCATAAAACCTTCCAAATGAGCCATCAATAAAATCAGAGTGTGCTGGTGTTGATTCTTACGTCATTCTATTCTACTCTTCCCTCTCCAAAAAAGCCAATCTAACTTTTCTAAGCCTACTTAGAATCCCTTCACTATTTCCACAGTGACTTTGCAGAGTGTTGCATGACATTATTTATAAGCAGTTACTGCTTTTGTTCACTAACTAAATGTGCGTTTCAGTGGTTTCAGAAAGAAGTTGAAAGTTATAGAAATATACTTTGATTCATTAAAAAGGGCTTATTTCCTACCTATTTTTTCCTTGCTCTTTCTCTGGATGCTCTGCCTTACACTGCCAACTGACCATTTTTGCACAGATCCACATGGAATGCCCTTTACCAAATTAAATCTTCTCCACTCCTGCTGGCTGATGTCTTGCATGACATTTCCAAGCTCCTAATGCATCCTGCTTGTCCTCAGAAAATTGCCCTCAAGTCAATGCTATTGACATTTCATTTGCCTTAGGACCTCTGGGTTTTGTAGAAATCACAGGTTAGGTTTGTTGCTTTAAAGAAATGAAGAGTTTTTACACACACAAAACATTGTCCATCTCAGGGATCTGGGGCAGAGAGGGAGATGTGGGTCTGGCTGGTCAATGGGCTGCAGGCACCACAGTGTGTGCACTGTGCTTTGGGTTCAGCTGTCCCTAGGCACTGCCTACACTTCTGCACACTTCCTTGCACTTTTGAGCCTGATGCCTAAGGAATTTTGAAGGGCCTTCAATGATGGTTCTACTCCTTTTCCTGCTCCTCTCTCCCTCCACCCCAAGTCATATGCCCTTCCTTCCCCCAGGATTTCACACCACGAATGAAATGCTTTGCCATGGCCTGAAATGAGTCACCTATTAACAGATTAGAGCTAGATTAATTAGCTTTGCATCTGTGGAAATCACAGGGGTCAGCACACCCGAGCTGCAAGCGATGAGTCTCACCCTGGGAAAACCACCCTCCTGGGAAAGATGCCTTGCCAGGACAAGCAGGGCTGGGGCTGGGGGAGGCTGAGCAGGCTCTGAACTCCCAGCACTCACCAGCCCACAGTGAGACTCTGGATGTCAGTGCCAGCCTGGGGGTTTAGCACTCTGCTGCCCAAACCAGCACGTCTTGGCTCGTGCTGACCCAGACCTGCTAAGCCTGGCTTGACCTAGCTGGTTGTTCCAGATGTGTTCTGATGTGTCTGCATGGTGCTTGGCTCTTATTTACCTCTGGGGGACAAATACCAATGATCTATATGAAGCACAGCTCTGTTTTCTTCACTTCCTCATGGTGAGGATCAGCTTTCTCCGAGAAGCTCATTAGTCACTTCAATACCTGACAAACACTCTTTGTCACATCACTGGGACGTGAGCTCACAGAGCCTGTAACTTCCACAGACAGAGGCTTCTAAAACCAGAAGTCTGTGAGCACTAAGACAGTTGAAACCTCTACTACCTTTCACAGCAGCAAGTCAAGGAATGTCAAAGTAAGGGTGCCCAAGGGGTTTGGTTTTCATCACGACAGTAACTTAAATATGAGTTCAACACATCAAACCAAGACTGGATGCTGCTTTCCCATACCTCATTTTAAACAAAGCACTCAGACCCTGTGCTTAAATCCTGCTATGCCTCTCAAAGCCCTGGGAACACACTTGTAGGCAACACCACACCAGAAAAGGAGAGTCTGCAGAATGACTGTGGAGCTCCTCTCACCTCCTGCCCAGGGCTGGGACTTGTGGCAGCACAAGGCTCTAACATTTTCTACCTACTTCCCTCTCAGACCAGGGAGAACATAAGAAACAGATTGTCACTGCAATCTGTTTCTGAAACACAGCAATAGCAGCTACCACAAAGCCTTTGTTCAGCTCTTCCCTTTTATCCAGTGCATAAGGAAATCCACAGCACATGAAACAGAGCTCACAGAATGGGACTTTTCACTCCTCACAGCTAAGTCCACAAGCATAAAGATACAGCACACATGTATTTTTTATCACAAGTGGCTAATAGTTTCTTATTGCTTTAAAAAAACAAAGGTTTAGCAGGGCCAAAAAGCCACAAGTGAGATTGAGTTCATCTCACGTTTGCCAGCACTCAGTGAGTTTCTTTCACCTGAGTGTGTGCAGGTTTGTAAGCAGGGCCAAAATTCACAGAATCAGAGCTGGAAGGGACCCTTGAGGATCATCCAGTCCAACTCCTGCCCTGCACAGACATCCCTGACCATCACACCCTGTGCCTGAGAGCATTGGCCAAACACCTCTGGAGCTCTGTCAGCCTTGGGGCTGTGACACTGCCCTGGGGAGCTGTTCAGTGCCCAAACACCTCTGGGGGAAGAAGAACCAGCTGCTAATCTCCAGCCTAACCCTCCCCTGACACAACTTCAGCCCATTCCCTGGGTCCCGTCCCTGGCCCCAGAGAGAAGAGGTCAGAGCTGTCCCTGCACTTCCTTCCCTGAGGAAGTTGTATCCAGCCATGAGCTCTGTCCTCAGTCTCCTCTTCTCCAGCTGAACAGCCCAAGTGTCTCAGCCACTCCTCATGTGGCTACCCCTCAAGGCCCTTCACCACCTTCATTGCCTCTTTTGGACACTCTCTATTAATTTACACTGTGGTGCAGTGCACACGATGTTGAAGGTGAGGCTGCCCCAGCACAGAGTTTGTGCTCCATATCAGCTTTTCCTGTTCCTCAGCCCTGGGTGTTCACCTCTGCCAACCACTTATATGCTCAGAACTACTGTAGTCCTAACTATGACATCCACAACTATTGCCTTTTCAATGTGAGGGAACAAGAAAAACAATATTTTACACTCTATTCCTCTGCAGCAACATGGGGAGCAAATAAACTGACTTGTCATTGTGAAGACTTATTAGTTCAACTCACATTTCTGACAGAAAGCAATTAAAAGCTAATTTTCTCATATTTTTTTCAATATTTAACCAACACAAAATCTATAAACCATCAACATCCCCATCAGCAACATTTTCTTTCATTTCAACCTGACACAGCCAATGTGCAGAGCCCTGGAAGCAATTCCTCCTTTTGGAAGGTGTAAGCCATCTGGATGCAGAATTTGGGTACAAAGGGAATACATAATTCATGTTTACAAATATTAAGTGTGACCCAAATCTCTGTTCTTTGGACTGAAATCAGGATCCATTTAGGCACACAACACGGATGGTTGGTGACACTCAGCCCCCATTGTCACTGCTCAGGACCTTTGTGAGCTCTGAGCAGCAGGTGCAGGGAAAAGCAGGGCAGTCATTAACATAAAATTATATTCCATTGTGCCATCACCCACCAGGTGTGCAGGCAGGTGATCCTCCTAATGAGAATGCACTCCAACATTTGCAGGGCTATTATTCCTTCTCCAGCAAAACCTGTGAATGTAAACCATTTTCCCCTCGTTGCACAGAGGCTAATAGCCATGGCCCAGTAATTGGAGCATCCCATATTAACTCCCTGAATGCTCCTCTTTGTTGCAGACTTTTGGGAGAGAGAAATCAGATGTAGGAAGATTAAAGTAAGTACCTATGTTAATACAGTTGGGCCCTTCAACTGACCCAGCTGATTTCTTTGCAGCAGGGCTGAGAACCTCCAGCTCCAGTTGGATCTGGTTCTTAGCCAAGAGTTTTTCACAACCTCTGAGAGGAAATAAAGACAGAATGAAGGGAAAAGGAAATGAACCAGAAGCCAGGCTGAATGAAGCCTTGAGCAACCTGCTCTGGTGGGAGGTGTCCCTGCCCAGGGCAGGGGTTGGGGCTGGATGTGATGTCTATGGCCCATTCCAACCCATAAATTCTATGATTCTATGATTCATTCACATTCACCTTCTGCTTGGCATCTGTCTATAACAGGAGCAGATATTTCTGCTTCTCAAAGTGTGATTCCCCTGTCATCCCCCAGTCAAGTCCCTCTTACTGTGTTTGTCTTTCTGGTTATCTGCCCTCAATTCATCCTCCTTCATTCACCCACGCCACGTGTCCTCCTGCTGCTGGAACAACTTGTTCCACAGACTCTAACTCAGCTGGTGAACATTCCCCAGTCCTGGCTTCTTTCCTGGCTCCCCAGTGACTCCACAGCTACTCTGTGGAGCATTGGAGGTAATTGTGTCTGAGAGCTGCTTAATTCAGTGCTTGACTTCTAGCTGATGAGTATTAAGTCACTGGAGCTTTGGCAGAGCTTGAGCATGTGGTCCAAGGGGTTAGCTCTGTGTGTGTATGGATGACCTGTGGCAGTTCTGTGGTCAAAATTTTCCTGTTAGCTAAGAAACACAAACCAAAAATACCCCCAAAAGCACTGCTGCAGGTCCTGGTCATTAATGAGGAAAAACCCCACTGTGTTAATCAGCTCCAGTCCACACTGCTCCCACTGCTTGGGAACAAAGTCCTGTTGAACAGTCTAAGGACTTTCCTCATTTTGCTACAGACAATTCTTCTCCACCACAATGAACTTTCTCCAGGTCCATTTGGTCCTCAGTAATTACTAATCATAAATATGTTGATGTGGTTTTATTTATATCAAGAAAGGAACAAGAGCTAATAGATTGATCAGGAATGTATCAACTGCATTCAAACCTCAGCTGTAATGGGATAAGAGTTGCTGTGGACGGGGCAGCACACAAACCATCCAACCTCAGCTCATTGAGGCTTTGAACACTACCTAATGTGCCAGGTTCATCAAGAGGTTAGGAGATCATGATATACTTAGAAACTGAAAAAACCTGAAATACAGAATCACAGAATCATCAAGGCTGGAGGAGAACTCTTGAGATCATCCAGTCCAACCATTAACCTGTCACTGCTGGAACCCCTAAACTCTAAACCAGATCCTCCAGTGCCACATCCAGACACCTCTGAAACACCTCCAGGGATGGTGACTCCACCACCTCCCTGGGCAATATCCCAGTGCAAAACCAGTATGAAAATGGCACTCATGGAATGGGGATCACTGCCAGATTGGCAACACACCTAAATGGAATTCCACTGGGGATCATCCCCTATTCAATACAGCTCAGCATCTTATCTTAGGACTCATATGTTGAAGCACAGAGTGCAGGCAGCAAAGCTGGGACAGATGAAGAAGCTAGAGATAAATATTAGAATTCAAAGCCATCAATCTCCCGCAGCTTGGAGAAATTGTCTGAAAACAACTGCAAGCAATTCAGTAAAGGCAAGTTCAAGGCTGTGTGCTCAGGCAGCAACAACCAATGGCACAGACAGGGACAGGAGGGGAATGACAATGCAGCACTGCTGCAGAAAATGGCTTTGAGGGAGGCACTGTGGGCCATAAACACATCGACAATGTAGTGATTCTGCAAGAAAGGGCAAACAACACCATACAATGTACAAACAAAATGGTCTGCAAGACCATTTAGGTAATGATCCTGCTCTGTCTGACCCTGGGAAAGGCCCACTAAAGTCCTGTCAATCTAGCTGGGCCTGATGTTTGGAAGAGAGGCAGTGTAGAGGAGACCCCCCAGAATCCCTTCCATCCCTGATTCTTCTCTGTGCCCTGATGCACTGGCTGCACCAAGTGCTGAGCAGCTCTGCTGAGCTTGCTGGGACAGCAGATCAGAGCAGACCACGATGCATTGTAATTACAATGGCATGAATATGCATCAATGGAATGCTTTGTATTGACAGTCATAGCATGGAACAGCAGCATAAGCCATTTGGAAGAACCTGCTGCTCTTGGAAAAAGCCCAGAAATTCTTATATGTAATGTAGCCATTACCGGAGAAATGTCCTGAGCAGACCCGAAGGAAACTGATTATCTCCTGTCCCTGCAACACATCCTCAAGGGTCAGAAAGAGATGCCAACCCTTGGCTGAAGGAGGAAGAACGGACACTCCTAATAGGGAGACCATAACATTTAGAATCAGTCTAATACAGAGCAGGGGGAGTCAAACCAAAGGACTGTAAAATACCAACTCTGAAGCTTCAACCTTCCATAGGAACCAAAGAAGTAAATACTATCTCTACAGACCCTTCTGACCTCAGCTTGGATCCCTTGGGCGGAAAGCTGTGTCCACATGACAATGGGGGACTGGGGGATTAGGAACCCTTTGCATGGGTCTCCACAGAGAAAACTCCAATTGTTTCCTCTCCTCACAAGTCACTGCAAGTGAAACAAAAAGCAGCTGAAAGAACAACCACCTGTAAGATACAAAGACATCTCAACAACACACAGAGACTTGTAGCCAGAGATAAATCACTAAGAGACTCAAACTTCCCCACCGAAGCCCCAACCTTCTCCAGCTGCAGAAATGACATTCTGCTTCTCCTGTTTGCATTTGTGTCCACACAGACATACCAATCTGTCTGTGTGCTGCAGCCTGGCAGAGTCACCCAACCTCCACCACTCCCTGGACAGCTTCAGCTTATAAATCCAGAAGACACATTTCCTTTGAGTAGAACAAACCCTTAATCTGGCTTCAATGCGTGGTCACAGACAGCTCTATGATCCATCCCCTCCCCGACAGGAGCACTGCCTGCTAATCCAGCAGGAAACAGCCTTTGCCAGGATTGACAGCTGGGGGTTGTATTCAGCTCCCAAATTAAAATCCAATGACAGGGCCCAGTTCCATGGAGATGTCAAGCCAAAGAAAGAGAGTAAAAAACCTGCTGCTTTCTCTGTAAAATACAAACATACACAGAGTGTGGGTAACAATACAAAGAGCTGGGAATGGGATATAATGGGATTAAAGCTGTGTGCAAAGTTGCTCTCAAGGGTTTTGTTCCCCTACCAACAACTCCCATGTCGTGTTTTCCCACTTACATAGTAAGTTTTCCCCTTACTCCTAAAACATGCTGCAATCTATTTCAATAACTATTTGAAATCCGGCAAAAATACAAATATTTTCACAGTCAAACCAGCAAAATCTTCCTCTATAACAATAATTACTGTCCAGTTCAAGGAAGGTTTAATTACAGACCAAATCTTACGAGGAAATCTAATGGCACAGGTTCTCATCCTCCCACAAATCGTGTGAAAGGTTAACCAGAGCATCCTGGGCAGTTCTGCTATTAATCAGAGGTGGAAAACACCTGATATAGCAAAAAGGGACAATCCTAGTGCTGTAACAAACTGCTCTGCTTCCTAATATCCAACCTAAACCTCCCTGGCAGAGCTTGAGCCTGTGCTCTCCTGTCCTACTGCTGGTAGGACATGCTACATGCTGAAAACAACACTTTTCCTACACTTTCAATGTCCACATTGCTCTGACAGTGCTTAGGTAAGGGAACAGGGAACACTGAGGCCACTGCAACAGCCAAATACAAAGTGTTTTCCTTACTGCTGTTACCTGTAGGACGTGATCCTCCTCAGGTCTGTCACGGACACGCGGTAGCCACACTCCTCCAGGACTTCCTCACAGGCAGTTTCTTCTAGAGAAAGTCCTGGTTTGTCCACAATTCCAGCACAGAGCTCATAGGTCACTCCCAGCTTGGCAGGCAGGGGATTTTCCAGGCGAGAGAAGCTCTCCTTGTCCTGGTTCTGAAAGACTTGAGGGTGATGCCTTTCGACTTCACACATGTAAACAGCTTCAAACAGCCGCAAAAGAAAAAGAAGCAAGGTGGGAGATGCGTTAGTTTATTCAGATGGAACGGGAAAAAGGATGGTACACAAATTTTGCCCGGAAATTTATAACCTTGAGAGTGACACGGGATTCACTGTGCTATCTGTTCAGTTGATTGCACACAGGGACTGCAACTGCAAAGAGCAAAGGTTCTCTTGCCACGTCTGTAGAATTACTCCTTAAACTCCATCTTGATTCTGGCACTTGGATTTCTGGGATGAACTAGCCCCGTTTTTATATTTCTCTTTACTTGAAGGCGTGTGTGGATTTCTCCAGCTAATGCAAGCACGATAGAGAGGAAACAAGTGGGGCTAATTGTAGCTGAAAATTAAAGTTACAATGACCTGGAATTGTCCAACACAAAGTGCAAACAGCAGGTTTTAGTCCTTATTTAAGCCAAAGCTCTTACTGATGTGTCCTTCCAGGTACCGGATTTAGCTTGTTATTTCTCAAAACATTCCTCTAGAGAAATGTTGCTGCACAACAGTAAAGCACTACAGTGACTCATTAAGCACTTGGTCCCCAAGGAAGAGTCTGTACCCCAGAAATCTCTGCCTGGGCTCCTTCTGCAGTGCTGGTTGTGGCACCTCCAAAGTGCAGCATAGTGAGATCAGCACTGGAGAGGGCGAGGCCCAGATCAGTGCTTTGTCCCAAATCTCACCCTTCTCCAAGCTGCCTGTCTCAGGTACATCCAAACCTCTGAGATTCACACAGCTAAGCAGAGGAGTTTCCATTTCTGACTTGAAAGACATGACTGGAGAACAGTTTTTGCTTTAAAATGCAGCACGAAGCCATGCAAAGAACATTCCATGCCAGCTCTAAGGGACAGATCCTTGAAGGGTGTCTATTGTCATTATTCCAAACCCTTCTGAAAGCTAGGAAAATTATCATAACTCACAACCACAGCCAAGATTTCACTGAGATGAGCCAAAGCCGCTGAAAGTTTTCTTTCTCTTTTAGCATTGATGCATCCCTATCAGATCATTAAAGAAGGAACAATGCATCCCATTAAAGGCTTTGGGCACCAAAACAGGATGCAGTGTGAGGTAGAGGAACAGGAAACTGGGCCTGAAGTAACTCTGTCACAAGTATGTTGTACTCCTAAAGCCCATCCTGTCATTCCATCAGGCACCTGCTGTTCTCCTTCTCCTCAGCACAGCTGGGCCCTGTCTAGACCTAAAGCTCCATTCCCAGAAGGACCTAACCCAGCAGTGCTCTTCAGAGCTCAGCCCTGTGATATGCCAACACTTAAAGCCCAGTAACAGCTTTGCTCTGGAGATAAGGGAGAAAAGCAGCAGAACCAGCCACTCCTGAAGAGAGTCTAAATCTCAGAGTGGAGTTGGATTATGAATTTAGTATCACCCAGCTCACCAAGGTTCAGACTCAATTTGTCTCTCACAGATAAGCAAAGCCTAGGAACCCAAGCTGCCTGCTAACACCAGGGAACAGAGTCTCCCATACCTCTACTGAAGGTGCAAAATTGCATGAGTGATGCACCAGGTGATAAAGTGCTGATGGAAAACCAACCTGTGGCCACTGGTAGGGCACACCCCTGGGAGGGAAATCTGTGCCTCTCCTTTGCCATCACAGCCTGTCAGCTTATTGCAAAGGGACAAAGATTTGGAGAGCAGGAATCAGAAGCAAGAGCTTATCTCCTACCCACAAGTCCTGTTTGCTCTGTTGTCTTCCAATGGTTTATGTTTCTTTGGTCAGGAACTGCCACTGTATCATCATCACGCAGTGTCCTCCACTGTCAGATGGACACATGACATGAGCAGAACAGTGAGGACTCAGCTAGTGCTTATTAACATCTTGACTAATGACCCTGGGGCTACTCAGCTCTAAGAACTCCCAGAGTGGAAACTCCACTGGAACTGATGTTCTTGTCTTCCTGAGCACTGTCCCTAAGCTCAGGTGTCTGAGCAGCTCCAGCCTCTAGGGTGGTTAAACTCCAGGAACAGTTCAGCCTTTTTAGGCAGATTTGACACTTCCATACAGATAATGCAATTAATGTTTTGCTGCTTAGTTTAGGGTTTAGGGGCTACAGCAGTGGCAGGTTCATGGTTGAACTTGACTCCCCCAACCTTGATGAGTCTGTGAGTCTATGAACAGTTTTGTTCATCTGGCAAATAAAAGATATTGGATTATTGATAAACAGGTAAGCACTTTGCTTCAGAAGAGCCAAGCAGCGCAGTGTCAGTGAGAAGTTGCCCATTGCTGTCAGTAGGAGAGGACAGTGTGACACTAGCCCAGAAAGTTTCCTATGAAACCTATCAAGAACAGCCTTGCAATGGTCTCTTAGCAACAGTCAGTGAAATATCTTGTGATTGCTTTTAATTAACATGCACAGAATATGCATTTCATTTTTAACTTCCAGAGAGTAAATATTGCTTTGAATTAAGAAAACTGAGATAAAAACTCAAGGAAAAAATAGTGTATTAACCTAAATTCATAGTAATAACTGCCAAAATGAAGCTGTTCACAGAGTGGTGAAAAAGCACAGAGTCCTGCATTGCCCTCTGTCTAAATTCCCAAGGATACAATGCACAATCAGACAGGAAAAAAAGGGATATTTAAGACCAAATAACAGAAAAAGTAGAAACATATTGTGCTTCTGCCTATGAAATACTAGATAGGTCAAGAAGGAACTTCAAAAAACCACAATTTCTTGCATGAGCATCATGGAGCTGTTTGCAATGTCACCCAAAGGAGGACAATCCCCATCCTGAAGCAGAATATGAGGCTACCCTGAGGGTTGGTCTTTTCTCCCAGGTAACCAGCAGCAGGACAAGAGGGCACAGACTCAAGCTCTGCCAGGGGACGGTTAGGCTGGATATTAGGAAGAGATTTTTTATGGAGAGAGTGCTCAGGCATTGGAATGTGCTGCCCAGGGAGGTGGTGGATTCACCATCCCTGGAGGTTTTCAAGATGAGACTGGATGTGGCACTTAGTGCCATGGTCTAGTGACCACAGTAGGGTTGGACTTGATGATCTTGGAGGTCTCTTCCAACCTGGCTGATTCTATGATCCTATGATTCATCCACGGTGGAAATGTCCCTGGCTGGAAATCCTGCCCAGCTGAAAAGGGTGAGCGACCACACAGAGACACAGGACACAGAACAAAGGTTTTGTCCCCACACATGCACCAACTTCTAAGGGCTAAACCCTTGAAAGCTTCACCAGCGAGCCAAAGTGGAGCTAAAGAAGAGGATTACCTGGGCGGAACTGCTTCACCACAACAAAGCACTGCCGAGAAGTGTTAAAGATCAGGATTGACACGCTGAGGAGAGAAGAAAACAAAAGATCAATGCTTTGTGAAGGATCAGTGCAGAACTCTTACACTTACCTTGTGTGAATTTAATTGTAACTAGAGAAATACAGCGAGGATTTACTGCTAAAACCACAACACAACAAGATTCTCGTCCAAAATCCATTGAGGGACAGGTAAAAATTCATCTGGAGGGATAGGTAATGGGTTATGTTCACAAAGCCCAAGAGAACTCCTCCAAAATTAAGTCCCTTTTGTCTCCATGCAAAATCAGCACAAATCAATCCCTCCTTCCCAACAGTAAAACCTCACACTCCAGTCTAAGAACAGTGGTGCTTATAGTATAGTATAGCTTATAGAATAGTAAGAAATCCTTAAAAATGAAAACATTTTCTTCCCTTATATCAGTTCCAAATTAGCACAGCCAAAATCTTAGGTATTGTCTACTCTCATTCAGAAATAGATCTATAGGCACAGAACATATTTGTGTCTACTTGAATCATAGAATCAACCAGGTTGGAAAAGACCTCCAGGATCATCAAGTCCAACCCTACCGTGGTTACTAGACCATGGCACTAAGTGCCACATCCAGTCTCATCTTGAAAACCTCCAGGGATGGTGAATCCACCACCTCCCTGGGCAGCACATTCCAATTCCTGAGCACTCTCTCTGTAAAATAATCTCTTCCCAATATCCAGCCTAAACCTCCAGACACCAACCAAGCCCAATCTTGTATAAATTTAAACGAGAAGTAGTTTCAACTGCTGCCACATTCAAGAGTCACATTTTACTCTCCTCCCTGTCCTCTCTGGTTGCTCAAAACATGGGGAAATCTGACAGGCTGAGTATTTTGGATGCTCTAAAAACGTGGAGTGCTGATGTTCTCTGCTCAAAGTACTCTCAGATGTTACAAGTTTCAGGAAGAGCAGACAGGAGTCTCTCCTTAATTGGTACCTGCAAAAACAAGTGAATATTTGGCTGATTCCCCTGGCAGCATCCCCTCATTCCTTAAGCCTCACTGAAGCCATTGGGAAGTTAATTCATTATTCTATGAGTCCCACAAAGGATTAGAGCAACAATGGAATATTTGCAGGGTTGATTCAAACCTTCAGCTTGCCTTGTAAAAGAGCTGGATGTTTATTTTCATTGTTTGAGTTAGTAATGAAGCCTCAGAGCTGCCAGAGGAGCTGCTGCTTGAGGATTATTAACAGCAATGGCAATGTCTATTAGGACAACATACAAAAATCCAAAGAGAAGAAGGGACAAGTCCAGATGTTAACATTTATGTTTGTGGTTGCTGTTCTCAGAGACCTGCCTGGAGGATATTGGTGTATATTGATGCTTCCTGCCCCAGGAGATGTCATTTGCAGTGATTTTAAAGCAAAGGTTTAGCCTTCAGATAGGCTGGAGGAGAACACTGGCTCTGGTTACTGGCACAGGGGTCACTTCTGACCTCAGCTAGGATACCTGGGAGGTACAGTGCAGGCTGCTGGAAGAAATGAAGTTAAACCATGGACCATAATCAGAGAATCATAGACTTTCAGAGGTTGGAATGGAGCTTAGAGATCATCCAGCCCCAACCCCTGCCCTGGGCAGGGACACCTCCCACCAGAGCAGCTTGCTCAAGGCTCAGCCAACCTGGCTGTGAACACTGCCAGGGTTGGGACAGCCACAGCCTCCCTGGGCAACCTGGGACAGTGTTTTAATTCTTGAGTTTACTTAAATATCACTCTCTTATTCTTTGATTTCTTTTCCCCTTTGCATGGCTGTTCCTCTCCCCAGACTGGCACTGAGGGCAGACCCTGCACGAAATCAAGAGGAAAAGGAAGAGTGTGAAGGATCCTTTGCTTCTCATCCCTGGGCCTGAGGATGTTCCCTGCCTGGGAGTGGAGGCAGCAGCAGCCTCAAGCTGCAGATGAAGAGTGAAAACTTCCCAGAGCATATGGTTGCCCTTTACCTTTCCCTCCTTCCACCAGCTCAGGCCCAGTCTCCACCTTGGGCTTGTCTCCTTCAGCACATCTCATTAACTACCTCAGACCAACTCATTAAAAATGGCTCAGCTATTAGACATTATTTTTCCCTAAGAGTCAATCACTTCAGATTTTTATGGAACAGATGGGAAAATTAAAAACAATCTGTCAGAATTAAGGAACAGGATCAAATTAGCTGGAGAGGAGTAGCAGCAAGTTATTACAATTGTCTGCTTCTCACACCATCTTGAGATGGGAGGGTACAGAAACGGCACAAATCTGGAGAACTTTCTATTTAATTACTTCTAATTTTCTCAGACTGACAAACAATTCTGAACAGAAATTCACTTTTTTTTTTAACAAACCACAACACACAAGTTTTTTTTTTAATACAAATCACAGAGTAATCATAGTTGGAAGGGACCCTTGAGGATCATCCAGTCCAACTCCTGCCCTGCACAGACATCCCTGACAATCACACCCTGTGCCTGAGAGCATTGGCCAAACACCTCTGGAGCTCTGTCAGCCTTGGGGCTGTGACACTGCCCTGGGGAGCTGTTCAGTGCCCAAACACCTCTGGGGGAAGAAGAACCAGCTGCTAATCTCCAGCCTAACCCTCCCCTGACACAACTTCAGCCCATTCCCTGGGTCCTGTCCCTGGCCCCAGAGAGAAGAGGTCAGAGCTGTCCCTGCACTTCCTTCCCTGAGGAAGTTGTATCCAGCCATGAGCTCTGTCCTCAGTCTCCTCTTAACACAGATCCCTCTGCAGCTTCCCTGGAGCCCCTTCAGCTCCTGGAAGGTGCTCTGAGGTCTCCATACAACCTTCTCTTCTCCAGGCTCAACAGCCCCAACTCCCTCAGCCTGTCCTCACAGGGGAGATGCTCCAGTGCTCTTAGCAACTTCATGGCCTCCTCTGCACTTGCTCCAACAGTTCCATGTCCTTCTCACGTTGAGGACACCAGAACCGTGTGCAGTATTCCAGATGGGTCTCACCAGAGCAGAGTAGAGGGGAAGAATCATCTCTTTTGAACTGCTGCCCACACTCCTGTGGCTGCAGCCCAGGATTCGAATGAAATATTTCCACAGGCCACCAGGTCTGTACCTTCTGAAAACCCACAGTTATTTCAGTATCACACAAGGTTAGAGCAAGACAGTTCAGCTGATGTGAGTGGAGGATCCCCTGAGCCACTGCTTTCAATGGCTTTTCTTACTGCTGCAACGACCCAAACGTGTGAGTTCAGCTCTTTGCTCAGGCCTATGAGATAAAGAAAGTGCGTATATTCCGGATTTTTTGAATCATCACACAAAGAATTCTGTACGAAATTCATGTGAGATTTAGATCACTATTGTTGCAGATGATACAGGATACCAAAAGGGACTACTACAAAATCAGAGCTCCAAATCTATCCTTCTGTGGTGTCACACCACAGGTATTTGATGTTCCCTTCAAAATGTGACAACCAAAGCCTATTTTAGAATATTATATATGCATCTCTAAGCTTCAAAGTGATCAAGAAAGAGCAAACAGATAACATTTAAAACTAAAACACTCACAATGACTTTGGGGAACATCTCCACAAAGAAATCATACAGAGGATAAATGAAGCCTAAGCTGTTAGAGGAAGGTCACACAGAACCACGAGAAAAAAAAATAAAGGCAGGAATTTTAGACAAGGATTTAATCTGAGATGATATCAAAGTAGCAACAGGTTTCATGTGCACATGTCCCAGAGAGGAGTACAAGAGCAGTTCCTCATCGTTTTTTTTAGGAAGAAAAAGAATATTCAGGTAACAAGGTACAATCCTTACAGTTGAAAACACCTCTCAAAAGAGTTTAGGAAACCACTCCACTGTGTGCCACAGAAAACTAATTCCACCTTTGCTCCTCCCCCAACACAGCACAGCTCTGCATTCACCAAACTCACAGAACTGATGCTTTATGCCTTTCCAGCCCAGCAGACATTCAGATAGAAACATTACCACTTCACACTCTCCAGCCTGAGAAAGGAAGGTGGGGGGTCACAGAGCAGTGCAAACACACAGCATTTGACCACAGCAGTTGGGAGGTAGGGACAGATGAAACCTGACATGCTGCTAAAATGTGCACACACATATGGAGGCACAGGAAGCTGATTCTTTTGAAATACAGACTAGCAATTAAGATCAGCAAATGAACTTTGCCACAGCTTCATCAACATATCCTTCTAGAGCTGAAGGAAGGTTTTGGGGTGGGGGCTAGGGGGGCTTGTTCAGGGGTGGTATTGGGTTTTTTGTCTGAGGGTTTCTTTGTGCTTTCGAGTGTTGGGGGTTTTTGGGTTGGTTTCTTGGATATTTTTCAGGTAGAAATGTAGTTTCACTTTCTAGTCATCAGTTTGGTAATCGGCCTTCATGACTTTACTTCAGAGGGCTGTGCTGCCCTTCAGAGGGACCTCGACAGGTTGGAGGGATGTGCAGAGCAGAACCAACTGAGATTCAACAAGGACAAGTGCAGGTCCCGCCCCTGGGGAGGAATAACTGCAAGCCCCAGCACAGGTTGGCACTGACCTGCTGGAGAGCAGCTCCAGAAGAAGCGCCCCTGGGGAGGAATAACTGCAAGCCCCAGCACAGGTTGGCACTGACCTGCTGGAGAGCAGCTCCAGAAGAAGGACCTGGGGGTGCTGGTGGACAACAGGCTGTCCATGGGTCACAGTGTGACTTGTGGCTGAGAGGGCCATGTGCTCTGGGCTGGCCCTGCTGGAGCAGGAGGTGGGGCCAGATGAGCCACTGTGGTCCCTTCCAACCTAAGTTTGTGATTCTGTGACCTGTCAGTTGCTAACCTGAGCTACAGTGAATCCACAAGCAACTGCTAACCCTTGTGAAGTGCTTTCCACCAGACAAACATCAAATCCTTTAGTAGATGAAGACTGATTCAGCCTCTCTCCATCCTCAGCTATGGCCTTACTGCACTTTACAAATGTGATTAAAAAATCCCCATGGTATAGTAATAACAAAGACAAGGCCAAGACTCTCCCATGTGTCTGCCCATGAGCTAAGGCTCTCAGG